AATTAATGTCGTTACCTTCCCTGTCGTTAGCTACTCAATCGACCGCTCTAATTAGAAAAACATTGAGGTTCAATATTTTCAAGCTCTCGTTTGAACCTGAATACAAATCTCCTGCCGTAAAACGAAGAGTAATTTCCATGTAAAATGGTAAAGGTCAAAAGTCTTGATTTACATTTGGTGTCTAGTTGTAATGCAGAATTCGACTGAGATTTTTTTTATTAAAAATTTTACGTTTTTTTTTTCTTTGTTTATGCTGCCAGTATCTTGAGTACTCTGTCTCGATGTGGCGGCTTGGGAGACTATTAATGTATCCTTACTAATATTACATTATAATTGTTTTTGACTATAAATAAATATTAAATAATATTTTATTAAACTAAAAACATCTAAATCATAGTTTTAATTAATTTTATTCTTTTATAAAAAAAAAGTAAAACAATGCCTGTGGCGATTGCCGATATTGATTCGAATGAAATTAATTACTATTAGTATTTTTATGGCACTATGTTCTATTTCAATAGAAGTTAAAAAACATTTAAAAAGATAAAGAATAAGTGACTTTATCATAAGACTATCTGATGCTACTAATATATTATATAATAGCAGTGCAAATAAAAAATCGATATATTGATTAAATATTTCAATTTGTTAGTAATTTCGTTTAATCCTAGCTCTCGTTGGCAGGATTAAGTCACTTGAAAGCCCTGATTAAGGGTTTCTCAGAAAAATACTCTAAGAAATTAATTCTTTTGAGTAAAAATAATATATTTATATTAACAAGGACTCTCACTGGACACTACAAACTAAACAAGCAAATAACCCAACTAGTCTTATATCCAAAAAGTGCTTGCAGATTTTACCACAATGAGGGAGAAATACTGCAACACTTAAATTGTGGCTGATTGCCATTTATACATAAACGATATATCTCCATTAGAAAATATACCTAATATCCTAAGTAGACAAAAAAAATCGCTACAAGAAGCATTTTAAATTTCCTATCATTGATAGGAATTAGCAGCGAACTTAAAAAAAGGGCGAGTACAAAAGATCATGGAAAGGTCGCAGTGTCACAGGTTTCTCTGCCTGAAAAAACCCAACTTTTAATAATAAATTTCGTTTAGAAATTATTTCAACATGGTTACCTTATCATTAAGTTCCATTGATACAAACCGTTAGCTGTCCACTGTAGAACATAAGCCCCCCATAAGAAAGGTTTCGTTAGTAGTTGTCTAGCTTGGCAGGCGGGTTGGTAACCGCAGTTAGACTTCGGTGACGATTTAAAAGGGCCTCCGCTGTTCATCCCTCAGTCATTAAGTTCTCTTAGTCACCTCTCACGACACTCACAAGAAAGGCCTATTCTATGCCAAGAACACACAGTAACCTTTTGTTCTATTTTTTGTGTTTATAAATTTATTTAAACAAACTAAAAATCTTATATATATTCTTTATTGCACTTGAACAATACATGTAGTAGTTTAACAGCTTGCTAGCAAGGTAGGGCTTATCTCGGAAAGAGATCTCTTCCAGCCCACCCAGTGTAGTTAGAGAGAAAATAATTTGGGTAATCCAGTGCAGGAAAGGTAAAATAATGTTAATACAACAAACACAAATCTTATGTATATAAAATATAATACAATTGTAATAAGACAAGATATACAAGAGGTGTTTAGAGAATATATGCAAGGCGTCTATATAAGAGTAATAGAAACCAAAACAATATTTTTTTTATAGTTTTGTGTCTATTTGTTCCTACATTATGGTTCGTATGTTCGTACACGAACTTGGATGCGAATTTTGAATTTTCACAGATGTTCCTGAAAGTCTAATTTAAAATCCAGTGTTTGTTTTATCTTTATGTACCATCTACAAATAATCTATTTTATTATTTTTTCTTCTTACATTTCATTTTATTTCTTTCTTTGCTTTTATTTTGTCTTTTTTGTTCTCTTATTCCATTTATCCTTTCTTTTTTAATAAATTTATTAATTATGTTAATTTTAATAAATCATGTTATGCAATATATTTTTTTACATGTTTTATAAAGCGAACGAATCTTGGTGCTTTATCTGAAAAGCTAAAACTAAACTAAAATTACTAATAGGAATCAGTCTATCTTTTGCCACTATATCACAAATAGCGCTTTCTGTTGTATGTAATACACAATACTGCTGTTATAAGACGTTAAGATAATTTATTGTTGGATGAAAATGGATTGGTAACTCCGCCTGCGCTAACGGGATACGCTGGCGGAGCACCAGTGAAGGGTGATAGGTGAGAATGAAAACAGGCCAGTTAGCCTATCAAAATTAATTCATCAGGAATCAATCATGATAGTTTTCAGGGGGAACCGCGTGGAGGTCGACCTGGTTAGGTATATTGATAGCAATGGGATTTATAGTCTCCATTACTTACAATCCCTTTCCCCCCTCTCTTTGAATATTCTTATCTCTTGTTTGGCTGTATAGTAAGCGAGTAAAACTACAATATGCTCACGTCTTATCTTCTCCACGATGTCGTAAAAGGATACTAACAGAACCAGTAGAATACATCATACAAGAGAAGAAAAGCTTGATAGCCAACGACTTATCTAATAATAAAACAATATTAAGAGTCTACAATACGATATTCATGTCGTATTGTCGTCGTTATGAAAACGATTGAAATTAAATATGACAACCCTTTTGGTACGAATGTAGCATGACAACATATTTGTATGGGCGATAAAACGAGCTTCCACTATTTTCAATAATAGAAGTAATAATGAAATGGATATATTTAATAGTAGCAGTATTTATATTTAAAAAAACCATCGCAAATTATTCATTCAGTAATTTTAACAACGTTTAACGTCTGTCTGCACACTTATTACTTATCTAGACTGTAAATAATTCAATTTTCGTCAACTATATGTGATAGCTTTTAATGAACTTATTGTTATTATATATAATTAAATTAATTAATTATTAAGTTATTATAGCTGTAAGCTTCCTTCAAAAATAATACATAAATACATCACAGTATGAAGATTCCTTACATTACACTGTAATACTATGACATGGGGGTTGCCAAATTTAACAAATAATTTCAATTTATATATAGATAGATACTCTTTATTGTTTCCTCCATAAGATTACAATAGCAACCCTATTATAAATACAAACAATTACAAGAAAATATTACACTAAGGAAACAATGGGCGGCATTATCGCTAAAAGCGATCTCTTCCTTCCTTTGGATGGAGAAGAGTAATTATAAACAGTTTGACTGGAGGTACGAAACTATTCGTTTTTTAAATACATATAGAGATATGCATACGTATAATAACATGAATATATAAATGTGTACTTCAATAATATATACATATTCATATATACGTATAAATACATCAATACATATACATAGAAATACATACATATAAAAAAAAAATATACATACATATGTAATTATAAAAATTAAAAAAGAATTTAAGTATGCTAATCAGACACAAATTACGAATATGACAACTTGCTCAGATAGAAATCTTTAATTTGTAGTTTAAAACTTGGTAGATACTGTATAATCTGTATAGAAGTTTGTGGACTATTCCATAATCAAACAGCTTGTAAACGATTTATCATAAAAACTTCTGAAATGTACCGGTGTCTTCAGCTGGACGCTCTCAGACGACCTCAGATTAAGAGAATAAACCATATGGAGTAAGTCAATCCGCTTCTTTAGACAGCAAGAAGAAGAAAGATTATAAAGACATTGTGAATCAGTGAAAGAATGTGAGTATACCGGCGGAAACGAATGGGATGCCATTTGAGCTAAGCACGAAACAGGAAAATATAATCATATTTTCTACGACCGAAAATAAACCTGATAAAAACATTTATAATCACCATGGTAAGCAGTAAGTTTGTTAATATAAATTGATATCAAAATGTTCATTAATAGAAAATTATATAGTACACATATTTGCAGAAAATCCTTTCCTATGGCAAATTTGATTCTCCCCATACACAAAGCACTCTGAATACAAAGAAATTGGAATGAATAGCTCACTGTATTATTTAATAGATAGACACACCCAATAGGTGCTATGTAAAGAACCCAGAAAATTGATTTACAACAACAAAGCATTTTTGTATGAAACTCGTGATGGAAACTCGCATCCATCTACGAAACTATTTACTGCATAATTGCCTTTTTTTTTCATGACGCGAAATAGGAGTTTTCTCATTAGAGTTGACAGGCTCATTTAGACCTTATTCCGTACTCACGTCCATTATACACTAAGCAGTTTAGTATATTCTTAATTTGTTTAACTTTATTAGGGCAAAAATAAAAATGAATTGCATTTTCGAATTGACTCGATCGAAGTACGAATTCGAAATTTAAATTATGCAAAGACACGAACTGAAACCATTGTATTGAGGTAAAATGTTTTAAAATACTTTGGTATTAAAAAAACAACGATATTTTATATGGGAAATAATAAATAATAACCAGACGCCTTTATAATTTATCGTAACGTGCCATAGCGTACTAAGGAAAATTATAAAAGCGTTCATTAAGGTGACTGTAGAAGTGTCATTTTCATATAAAATGTTTACCTAAGCATTACTGTTGTATTAATAACAGCTAGCGAACTCTGAATATTGGTCCCGTCTATAAATATCATAGTTTGTTATTTATATGTTTATTAATTAATTAATTATTATTAATAATATTTGGTTTTATTCATTTTCGTTTAGTGTACGATACGTTTATACAATATAAAATTAATCATAACAAGGTATTCTGAAATACTATACTCTGTTTTAGGTAAACTAATACCGTCTAATATTATGTATCCAATATTTTCTTTACGACCACCTTAACACAATTACATTTAATTTCAAATCATAGTTTAAAAAACATTTCTTATTAGTTCTTACGCTATTATTAAACAATAATATTATTAAATAATGTAACGCTTTCCAACTCTATCTTTCTAATAATCTAACTTTACGTACCTGAAGTTTAGACCATTGTATCCTGCCTATACACCGACTAGCGTTTCTCCAAGCCAGTTTCGCGCCGAACACTAGTTCCGTAGTTGTCAACTGATATGTACCTGTTCTTGCTACTTCTTCCTGTACCGCTTTCCAGCGAGCTTCGTGCGCTGGCGTGTTAGCCCTGAGCAAAGAAATAAAATATTAATATTTAAAAATTAGTATAAGAACATTCTTACTATTCCCTATACTATTTTATTCTACTTTATTTTTAAAAATATTATAAAGAGAAACTGGTCAAAAAGAAACAATTTAATTTTATAGTTTTAGAGACCCATGCCTTTAAAATATTTAACCAAATAACATCAGACTTTTTATATTAGTGACGTTTTACGTTTTAATCTTTATTAATTACCTTTAAGGGAATTTAGGTTTCGATAAAATGTAACAGTTTTTTCTTCATTTCAGGTTCATTTAATTGTACCAAACTAAGAAAAAAAAGACAGTGTTTCTACCTACCTTCGTATAGAAGCGAAATACTGTCCAAGAAAGTCTTTGGCATCTTTAAGGACCTCTTCTGGCTCCCTTGGCACGTCGCCGCGGCCAGGAATGGCCATTAAACTGCCAAGGCACGCTCTTTCGTTGCATAATGTTGGCTGTAAACAAATAATAAAGTTTTATTTTTACTAATACGAGACTTGGAAATGTAGTAAAAGGTTTTGGGACCTTGACTAAAAAAACTCCTTGTGTAAAAACTTCATCGATACAAATGCTATCTAAATCCTAGGAGGACAAGGGATTGTTAGTAATGCCGCTTAGTGATCCCATAGCTGTGCTGTCAGGTAGACCTTCTGGCCTCCACATGGTCTCTTCTTAGAAACCATCGTAGTTAATTCATGGTGGACTCGTTACAATATACCAATTGATCTGATTTTATATCTCCTATTATCCCTCAACGTAAATCAATAGCACCGGTAGAGTGACCACACCACTTTCATCAAATTAAAAACAATGTAACCTACTTATAGATAACATCGGATATTATGATGATGATGATGAGGTATACTTCAAAAATCAAATAAACAAATTCAACTTGAATGCTTAACATAAGATTTAGTAGATTTAAAAAGCGTAGAATTATTCGTACGTTCAAGGATTTAGTAACAATAGAATATAACTATCTTCTCTAAAGATAGAACAAGGATAAAACCTATTAAAAAGACATAATAACCATAGTAAGACCCAATGACTTATAGAGAGAAAATTAAAATATAAACGGAATACCAATCACCAACGTTTTTTTAAATTCTATTTTTTAATATATGTACCTAAATTAACATGAATTTTGGCTCTGGATGTACGCGGTTCATGGAATCGTGTTTGAGAAATTTCAACACATAACACCAATTCCAGTTTTCACGTGATTAAACAAGTTACTGAACGTAAATGATTAAATTTTTCATGCTTACTTTATCAAATTCCCATATAAAATAATGTTCTTAAATTTCTTGTTGCAAATGAAACAACATTAAAAGCATTCTCGTGTACTTATATGTCAAGAAAGAAAGAATAAATGAAAATAGTTCTTTTATGCACTTGTTACATTTTTTTTAAATATATTAGTTTTCTTAAACATCTTGTTTCAGAATGTGTACCTACATTTATTAATAAAAATCAGACTGACTATTTTAAAAATAATAAAATATTAAAATTGTTATATATATATATATATATATATATATATATATATATATATATATATATATATATATATATATCAAATTTTGCAAAAAAATTATTCTTTTAATGTATATAAAACATTAATTTATATTTTAATTGACTGTATAGTTATTTATTATCATGATACTTTGAATAAAAAGTAATAAAATTGTAAGAACACGTGATTTAGCTAACTTGTTTACTCGAATTCGGCCGTGTAGATATAAAGAGATTGTTATTTGGGTGGGGAGACACTTCTTGTCTAACCGTTGAACAAAGCGGCGCCCCCTGACGTATCAAGTGTGAACAAGTATAGTAAACCTCATTCGGGTCATTATAGAAAATATATCATAATTATTGTTGATGAAAGTTCTAAAGAAGCTATAGTTAAATAAGTATCAATTGATTAACAGAAGTTGATTATTTGTTATATATTATATCTATACTAAGTAAGTATGATTTAATAATATGATTTCTAAAATAAACAAATTATGAGTATTTGTGCTTCATTTCTCATATTACTAAAAGGCTTTATATTGTTAAAGAATAAATCACATACATGTAAAGTTAGGATTACATAGTTAAATTACTATGTAAACCTATTATCCTACATGACATATTATATATATTATAGATAATAAATACGATTTCTGCTTATGCACTTTTAAAAAATAAATATTCATTTACAACTCGTATTTTTGATTTTCCTTTATTCTCATCTATTATAAATACTTTATACAAGGGTATATTATAAACAGTTGAACAATACTCTCAGTATTCATTTATTTTATTTTGTTGATACTTTTAAGTGAATGTACTGTTTAATATTTCAGTTTCGTTAACTTAGTATAACATAGACTTAATAGATAAGCATATCTATCTCGCTCTAACATATATGTTATTACACTTCCTGTCTTTTACATTTCTAATCTATATACTTTATAATCTAAGGGAAAAATTAAACATTCGCTTGTTTGTTGCATCTCTCCCGCATTTGATTCTTCCCGCATTCGCTGTCTTCGAACGCAAATTGAGATTATTTAAGAAAAACAAAAGAATTAACTAATATTAACGTATCTATTATATATTTTTTTTTATTTTTTTAATTTTATAGCCAGACCTTCAACTCGCACTTGATTGCCTTTTTTTATTTAATATGGCTCGTAGTTGACTATGATTAAGTCCCTACTTGAAAAAGCGATATCTGAAATCATCTTATAAAGTAAATATTTCCTTGCGTGATTTGAATATCGAATATCTAAATATTTTTCATTCTATTTATTCGAGAAACGATGATTGGTTCTTCAATCAGTGTGAGCTTCTGTTGACAAAGTATATAATCAACCTAAATAATTTATTTTTATAAAAGTCAACTTTAACAATTTATTTTCATTTTTGTTGCAAAAAAAATTACTAAATCAAATAAAAAAAAACAATAACAACAAGAACCTGATTTGAAAAATTTTCAAATCACTTGCAACACAGAAAAAATGGCGCTTTTTTGTTTTGATTAAAAATATATTCATCAAATTTAAACCAGCTATAGAGACATTTGGCTTACTGAATTTTGACTTATTTTTAATACCCTATTCTCTATTTATATAAACTAAAAGAATCTGAGGTAGTAGGTAATACATCAGAGCACTTCGTGTAATTATGATATCAAATATATGTTTTAATATAATTATTGAAAATGAGTTTCTTTCGTTTCATTAGGCAATTAAAAAAAAAGCGTATATTATTTTCACCAAACAATATGACGAATATTTCATACACATGTTAATAAATATTATAGTTACTCAATAGATCTACGTAGATATCTCTGAAAGATTATTATTATGATCTACTAAGCAAAAAGTAGATTTTTTTATGTCGCTAATATAATAATGCCATAGCCATAAAAGACCCTTTCACGATTAAGGTTATGCCAATTTGTATCTGAGGAATTTATGAGCATGTCCATTTATACCGAAATATTTTATTGCGTATTTGATTTTTAAACATTACGAAATTGAAATCTGTAGGAGTCAAATTAAATAGATATAAAATAAATATGCAAAAGACTGTAAACCTGGGTAAGAATTCTCAAAATATTTCTTTTAAATGAAATTAATTTGCGATTTTCTTTTGATGTTAAAAACGACAAATTTTTTTCAAGTCTGCAAATTAATTTAAATAAATTCCGCCATGTTGGATTTAATAAAACGTTCTCATAGAATAGGGATTGTAGGTATGTTTACTGAAATGTCATACCGTAGATTAAAGATAGTATTTGCAGTCCCTCTTAGGTCTATTTCTTGTTACACGCGAAATGTTGATATTTATCAATATTTCGTGTGTACAAGGAATAGACATAACAGGGACCGCAAATATTTTTTTTTAGAACAACCTTTTTTGTCGTATAAATTTAGAGATTCTTTAATCGATTGAAATTGTAATATGAAAAATTGATGACAAAAAAATAAAATAGACCTATCGATCGGACCTCTATATATATCGGTTTTCCAAATACCAATTTTTTTTAGAGTTTGTGTTTTTAACTTGTATTTAAACCCAATTATAGAAAAGAAAACCGGCATCATAATAATCGTTATTTTAACTTTTTTTTTTTAACTTCTTTTAAAACTATTTCATGTTTTTTATTTTACAAATATATTGATTTTTATAAATATACATGTATTTAGCTTAGACTAGTGTTTAAGTACATTCAAGTAATTGTAAATAATTTTATGGATCTAATCAATACAAAATTATCGATATGCTGAATCGAATCAATGCTATGTATCGATTAAAAAAAAATATTTCTTTAGTTGAAACAATCGATTCTGTGATTAATAGAACTCAAATTACCATACCCAATACCTACTTACACATTAATACATAATAATATTACATTATCTTCCATAATATGAAATATGTATTTTTTAAGAATATAACAAATAACTATATTATTTTACAGTTTAGTAAGTTAAATCTTTAAAATATACGTAATGAAACATGGAATTTCAAAACTAGAACATCTTGGTTTCACACTGCACAGAAAGTTGCGCATAACAACTGGAAGGCGCCCTGAGGCACCGCCTCTCGCGAGTTCGGAAGAGTACGTTCTAACAAGTGGTACTTGAAATATACTCGTACATTATACATATTATGAGCGTACTTATTCATATTCTTAACTATTAAACTGGCATAAATATTCAATGAGTTAAGAAAAAGCAGCAAAGATGAACTTGGAGTACAAAAATAACACAAATACCTACAACGCACAGTTGTTTACGAATGCATTTCAGTAAATCTGCATAGACAAAAATCTATTGTCGAATGTATGTAAGCGCTTCACTTCAGAATGGCCTATACCTATTTGACAAATACTTTTTTTGTTATGTTTGTTATTATCAACATAAGATTCGCATAAAAGAAAATGTTTGAAAAACTGTAAAGAAAAGCGGAAAAACTTGCTTTTAAAAATGTTCATATAAAAAAAGTAAGTCAGCGAAATTTGGTCGTATTTTCTTCATTAGTATACCCATGCGAAGCCTAAACGGGCAACTAGTAAAATTAATACCTATATGGCATATAATTTCCGATACTTATGTATCGGAAATTATATACCAAATGCTACATGATAAAATGCTTATTGGCTAAGAAAATGCCTTATAGTATTTTACTTATAGATAGAATAAAAATAAAATAAAGTTTTATAAAACAAAGACAGCGTTTATTATTCAATTAAAAGTTATTTTTTAAATGAGTAAAGAACGCATTCAGACTTCGTTTCTTTTTATCTGTTAACTTTTTACGATTTCATGAAACTTTGTTATGAGTTTACGTGACTAAAAATGATTAAGATGCAGCGGACACCGTCATGAAGAATTCAATATTACTTCTTTGATTTATATAATTTTTGGAACATAAGTTTTTATGCCACTTGTAGTGG